CCCCACTGGCCTGATCACCCACAAGTGCCATCCCATCCTGGCCTGATCACCCACAACTGCCCTCCCCTCTTGGCCCCTAACCGCCTCTACCTTGGCCCTGCCACCATGGCTTTGTCCAGTAGAACGTCCAGAAGGTCTCCCAGTCTAATTACCATATTACCCTTTTATTAGTATAGATAGAGGTCTGGTGCATGGATGGGGACTACCTGGTTTGCCCTGAAGGGTGTTCCGGATCAGGGTGGGTGTTCCCTTGGGGGGCTGGTTGGCCTGGGCAAGGGGCCCGTGGTGGTTTGCAGGCTGGCCACACCCCCATTGGGGTGGGGGTCCCCATTGGGGATGGTGCTTGCCTGGGTGAGGGGCTGAGGGCCGTTTGTGAGACCCTCCATCGGCAACCAGCCTGGGCGACCCAAGCCTCCCACGCTCAGGCCAAGTCCGTGGCCGACCCCCATAGGCCCCTCCTTCTATGGCAGGCCCAGGCAAATGGGAAGCTTGGCTTCCTCCGTCACAGGGGGCGACCCAAACCTCCCACCTGCTCAGGCTGGCTCCGTGGCCACTGCCACCTTTGTCCTGCTAATTTGCATACTCACTCCTGATTGGCTGGTGGGCATTGTGAAGTGAAGGTCAATTTACATATTTCTCTTTTATTAATGTAGATTCCATTCTGTAATTTACTGCCAATCATAAATTGATATTCCCTAAGCCATCAATTTCATAGTCTCACTTCTGTGCTCTTTGAAGGTTCTCCATTGTTCATAGCAGTTGTTTGCAGTCTTGGCTAAACATCAAAGTTACTTGGAGGACTTTTTAAAAAATACAAATACTTGAGTCCCACTTCAGTCTTACTAACTCATAATCTTGGATAGGGGATCTGTATTTTAAAATAAATTTCTCCAGGTGATTCTGAAGCACAGCCAGGATAGAGAATCACTGACCTATAGGATAACATTTAAAAATTTTAGCATGACCTTTCTAAGCCTTCCATAAGGAGATTTATATTCTAAGTTCTACCATTAGTTGACCTTTGGACTATCACTTACCCTCTCTAGGCCTCAGTTTTCTCATTGGTAAAATGAAGGATAGCTGCTTAATGTTTCCATTCCAGATTCAGGGTGATTTAAGCCTCTTTATACCTTTCTGTTTTAGTTAATGCTGTATTTTAGTTTTCTTTCAGAAAAGCTGATTTAAGAGTCAGTGTAATGAAACAAATGTGTGGGTGATTATTTTCAAGTCTAAAATATAACCATGACATCCTTTTCATCTTTTAAACAGAATTTAATTTACCTGTGTTACAGATGTCAGAACAAATTCCTGCTATCTATTGTGTAGCCTTCTTTTCTGCGCTCTTCTTTGATGTGCTTATCTTCTCTTGCACAAGTGACCCCCTTTGGTGTGAAATTCAATAATGTGATACATATAAGAAAAAATGGAAAAATACAAAGAGAAAATTTAATTTTCTATTAGTTAAATGAATTTAAATGGCAGCTGTAGGTGTAGTCATTAAACATGAACCCATATTACAGGGCTATTTCTATTTATCACTTATGAGTCTAAATTGGATGAAACAGTGACCATTTTTAAGAAAATTTAAATGTCAACACCATAACAAAAGCCTTCGTAGTCTAGGGTAATGAACAGCCTTTGAGTAAGACTAAATAAGTAGGAAAATAATGTATTATTGACCCGGAGAGTATCATTATTTTAGATTTGGATGGATATCGTAGTATACTTTATCTTCTCTTTTCTAGAACAATTACTATGAGTCAAAATATCTTGGTGCTGTTGACCAAGTAGCAGATATGAAAATTATACCCATTTGTTGAATGTGAACTATGACAATCAATCTCTGTAAAGCCTGTTTGGGAATATAATTTTATAAAAAGTCCATCTTGTACAAAATGTTCAACATTTTGCTTTTCGTAATACTATTGCTATTCACTACTCTTCTGTGATGTTTGTTCATTCATAGTACTAGGTAGTTCTATGATATTTGCATTGGGTCAAACTGATATGGGAAGATGCTTCCATACAATAATATATTAAAAATAAAAGGATTCAGAAAATTCTGTTGAATTAATGTGATACTAAAGAGCGAAGACTTTATAACGTTATGTGTAAGCTAAAAATGTAAACTGAGAAGGATTTGATTATGGAGTAAGAGGAGGACTCTAGGTATTTCTGAAGCCATAGTATCACTGAGTGGCCAGATTATTATGACCACCTGACGTTTTTAGGCAAATTAGCTATAATTTCGCACTGAAGTTGCTAGAGGGCCAAACCATTATAAATAAGGAAGCAGGTTGTTTACCACGTGAGTAGAAGTTATTTTCTTCTGAAGATATGGGTAAACAGCACGATTTAACAGTCTTTGAACATGGGAAATATATATATACTAGAGGCCCGTTGCAGGAAGATTCCTGCAAGAATAGGGCTTCCTGTGGCTGGAGGAAAGCAGAGAAGGGAGCGAAACCCGCTACGGCAGGTTTCCCTTCCCGCTCCCAGCCGCTGCGGCTGGATTTGCCCTCCCGCTCCCAGCCGCTGCGGCTGGGTTTCCCCTCCCTCTCCCAGCTGCTGCGGCTGGGTTTCCCCTCCCACCTTCCACCTCCTGCCTCCACAGCCTTGGCTCCGTTCCTGTCTCCGCCACCTCTACTTAGCTCCCTTCTGTAGCGCTTCACTTCCATGTTGTCTTCAGTCTTCGCTCCCAGCCAGTATATGCAAATTAACTGCCATCTTTGTTGGCGGTTAATTTGCATATCACGCTGATTAGCCAATGAGAGGTGTAGCGAAGGTATGGTCAATTACCATGTTTGACTATTATTAGATAGGATATATATATATATATACTGAGTGGCCAGATTATTATGACCACCCCATCAGTACTTCGTTGGGCCACCTTTTGCCTTCAATACTGTGGCAATCCTTCTTGGCATTGATTCCACAAGATGTTGAAAGGTGATGCAAGGAATCTGACACCATGCCTGATGAATAGCACTGCCCAGTTCTGTGAGATTTGATGGTTGTGGAACCAGCTGCCTGATGGCTCTTTTAACTTCGTCCCACAAATGCTCAATTGGATTGAGATCTGGTGATTGTGG